GGTGTCACGGGGATTCGAACCCGCGACCCTCAGATTGCGAGTCGAGTGCCCTAACCACCTGGCCATGCCAGGCCATTTTCCTAAGGATATTGTCATAATCGACTCAAGTTTAAAATGATTTCATACGCAGAATATTTTTAGTAGGATACGCCTTTCCATTTGGGAATTGTACATCATCCATCTACATAAGCAGCAAAATTCTCTGAGGGAACTCTCTTTTGAACCTTGAACTCTTTGGCATAACTCAGATATGATTCTATCACAGTCAGTGAGTTTCTCCTTTATCCAGACAAGCATTGGCCTGTAAAACTCAACATCAGATGTTGTATCCATTTCAAAAGAGTAACATTCGTGAAATTTTCAGAGAAGAGATTCGGGTTACCCTAACCTGTACCCCTAAACACCGAAATGAAAATCTGTTTCATCTCATTCATAGGGAACTATGGCAAAGAAGAAAAAATATATCTTGTGGCAACTCAGCCAACATCAGTTTGAGATACCAATGATGCCTGGGGAACAATGTAAGATCAGGAATCCCAGATTTTGGACATATGTTTGGTACCTGATCCGGGATGGTGAAATGATGAGCTACCATAAGAATAATGTCTTCCATTTTTGGCATGATCTTCAGTAATCATAGCAGCATGTTTCTCATCTTGGAGAAGCTCCCTCTGTTCCACAGGTCATTATCTTTTTTTTTAAAACAAACAAATATAAATTTTTATATTTGTTTTAGAATTTAGTTACTGATTGTTTATGTTTTTATAAAATCTTTTTAAAGCTTTCCTGTAAAATATTTATTTTATAAACCTGTATATTTTATATTTTTCTTACTCAAAAAACATTGCATGCAATTTCACTATGTTTACAATCACTTCTGTTAAAAAAATAAGTTTTTATGATATGGAAAGTATATGCAAACGAATTTTTATTGTTAAGCAAAAGATTTCGCTTGATATATGTAATAAATTTCAAGCCCATTATTTGTTTATATAAATTGTTATATATTTCTTTTGGAAATTTTCTTTGCCCATTGAAGCAGCTACAGTGCCTTGCTAAAACCTTCACCCCTCTGTGCTGGTATTATATTTTAGGTATTTTCTTGATAAAGACATAACTCAAATGGCCAAAAATATTAATTATCTTAATATTGAATAAAAAATATTGAAAGCACATGTTGCAAAATTATTCACCCTCCTCAGCTTTTACCATCGTAGATTTAACTTTACGTCACTACCTTGCTGAATAAATACAAGTGGCTCTGTACAACAGATACCAAAGTATATTATAGAGCCATGTGAAAAAATACTTTAGGTCATATAGAGCCATCAGAGTATTTTGAAAGTTAAAATTTGGTTTACTCTTACATATTGAGAATGATGAGAAAAGAACTCTCTACAGACCTAAGGGAGAAGATTGTTCAGAAGCACATTTTCGGAGAGGACAATAAATAAATTTCTAAGATTCTCAATTTGCCATTAAGTACTGTAAATCGTTTGTGAAGAAATGGAAAGTGTGTCACACTACCTCAACCTTCCCAAGATCAGGTCACCCTAAGAAAGTCTGCACTCGAACAAGCAGAAAAATCGTCAGAGAAGCGACTGTTAAGCCAACATTGATACTGAAGGAGCTGCAAACTTCAATAGCAGCAACTAGAGTTACTGTACACATCTCGACGATATCATGTACCTTACACAAAAAAAAGGCTTGTATGGTAGGGTGGCAAGAAAGAAACCACTACTTACGAAGATGCATCTTACACTGCAAATGGACTATGCCCTTAAACATTTCAATAATTCTACAACAATGTGACCCGGCAAATACAGTCCCTACTCTCAAGCATGATAGTGGGTCCATAATGCTGTGGGGATGTTATTTTCTGCAGCTGGCACTGGAGAACATGTACTTATTCAAGGGAGCATAGACAGTGCAAAATATAAACAGATGTTGGAGGTAAACGTGAAGAAGTTAACTGAAAAACTAAAACTCGGTCGAAGGTTTACATTTCAACAGGACAATGATCCGAAATACAGATCAAAGGTAACCCAAGAATGGTTTTGGAGAAAGAAAATTAAAGTCCTTGACTGGCCAAGCAAAAGCTCAGACCTAAATCCACTCGAAAATCTGTGGAGAGACTTGAAAATTGCTGTGCATCGAAGATATTCCACCAACTTACAAGAACTGGAGGATATCTGCAAGCAGGAGTGGGAAAAATTATCTCCAGCAAACTGTGCAAAGCTTGTGGAAGGTTATCCAAAACGACTTTCTGCTGTTATGACTGCCAAAAAAGCTTCAACCAAATATTAACTGCATAATCATGCTAGGGGTGAAGACTTTTGCAATATGTGTTTTCAAGTTTTTTTGAGTTATACCACTAAAGTGAGAAACAATGTACCATTTGTTCTTTGTAATCTTTAGAAATGGGTCTGAGATTAATATCGACAGTGGACGTCATGTGATGCTGGAAATACGTCATGAGTTTCTAGAAGGATCATGACTGTTCCTGACAACTCTAGTGTTTGCCAGACGCCCTCTATTTTTGTATATAAGCCCAGCAAAAAAAAAGCGGAGATATAATTGCAGATAGATGAAGATAGAGACAGATAATTGAGTCAAGTGAGCAGTAGTGACCGTAAGTAAAGTGCGTGAACAGTTGTGAATTATAGCGTGTGTTTAAGTTAAAGTGATTGTGGAAATTCTGTGTATTGCAAAGTTGTATTGAGAAAGAATAAACTAGTTTTATTTAAGAAAGGACTTGTATCGCTGAAGTTCCTCGGGAAGAATTTATACCGAAAATTAACAAACAACCAGACACTTAACAAATTGGTGTCAGAAGTGGGATTGAAAAAAAAGAAGATGGAAACGAGAAGTGGCAAATCAAACTACAGCTTAGCAGATTTGATGGCAGCAATGCAAGAACAGCAAATGAC